GACCTTTACTCTCCCACAACTCTCCCATATTATTATCTCTTTTCAAGTAAACACAATTTCCGTAGAAATTGGCATAGACCTTAGATACCTCTCTTTTCTTCTTAATATTTTCTTTATCAGTTTATACCCTCTTCCAACCCAGGTTCTCGTTTGTAAGCTAATTTAACGATTAGTGAACAAACTTGTAACAGTACTATTATTATGAGTAAAAATTTTGTTATGTTATTAGACCAAAGCGTGTCAAAGCATATCTTCTCTGAGATTCTAAGACACTTCTATATACAATTTTGAATTATTATGCTAATCTAAGATTAGTAATTTATGACTAAATACTAATTGTTCAATTATTTTTCAATTGTCCAGATGATTGTTGTCTCTTTTTGATAGTTACTATCATTATGTACATTTCAATTGTCCAGATTATTGTTTTCCTCTTGATAATCATTATATGGATTAATATTAAAAGAACAATAGAATGTTCGTAATATAAATAAAGGTAATATATGTATTTCATTTTTAATAAAATACTACTAAATTTGATTTAGAACATACATGTCATTATGAAAAAATTATTATATAAATCATTATAGAAAGATATTCATATGGAAATTAGAAAATATTAATATTTTTAGGATACATGTACACTTAGTGAACAAAGTTTGAATTAGTGATTAATTTTATTAATAAAATATAATAAAAATTAAAATTTTCTCTTTATATTAAAGTTTATAATTTTATTAAGAAATAATTTTTGTTTTTTATATTAAAGTAAAGTTTATAAGTTATAGTTTAATATATATTTTTTCTGAAGAAGTTGTTTTAATAGTAAAGTTATTGCAAAAATTTTTTCTAATTAAATTTTGTTTTTAATTGAAAAAAATTTTTGCAATGACTTTGTCATTAGAGCAATTTCTTCAAATTAAATCTAAAAAATCTGAAAAAAATATATGTTAAACTATAACCTATAAACTTTAATATAAAAACAAAAATTATTTCTTAATAAATTTATAAACTTTAAGATAAGAGAAAATTTTAATTTTATTAATAAAATTAATTTCTAATTGCAAACTTTTGTTCACTAAGTGTACATAAGTATAAAGTCTTATTTATATATATTATGTAAAAAAAAGTATAATAAAAAAGATCACTGGTCATTACTTTTCTGAGAGACTATATATATACATATATTATGAACAAAGAAATGAAAATGGCTGTGCATTACTGTTTACGTGATATCAATATAGTGCATAACATCTAAAGTCATCAAACATTTGTATTTTATAAAATATATAAATTTCTTTACTAAGAAATAAATACAAAATTTAATCCGTGAATATATGTACTCTTTCTGAACTTATTCACAGATTGAATTTTGTATTTACTTCTTAGTAAAGAAGTTTATATATTTTATAAAATACGTACAAATATTTAATAACTTTAGATGTTATGCATTATACACATGCATACAAAAAATACGTATGTATTTGTTATCGTTTACTTATTATCATTATATATATACTATATTTGTAAATGTATGGATAAACTTAAAACAGTCTGTATGCTATTATACATACTTGATTTTAAAATTTTACAACAATCATAACACTGATAGATTTGTCTGTAAATATATAGATAATCAAGTACATACATGTACACTCAACATATTATTATAACATCATAATTGTAAAATTGTATTTAAATAAGTTTTCAGCTGCACTCTTTAAAAAATTAGCAATTGACTTTAGTATCGTGTGGTGAGAATGAAAACATTTCATCTAACACTTTTTATTCTTGTTTTGTTACTTAATCTATGCAAAATAAATGCATATGAGCTTAACCTAACACCTTATTTAAACTATTCAATAGAAGCAAATGAATATTTTTTAGAAACTGTTTTACTATCAGATAATAGAAATTTATTGTTTATAGAGTTGCACTCAAATGCAACTTGCTCTGAACCTGTCATTATACTGATAAAAACGTATTCAGATCAATCTATAACGAAATTTAAAATACCTGAATACTCTTTTTGTAACATAATACATATAGTGTTCCTATGAATTGAACTGAACTGGACTTTTGTCCGAGTTTGAGTTCAGTTTGAAATTCGAACTGAACTTGAACCAGACTTTGGCTTGAGCTCAAGAAAGATTTAAAGTTTGAATTGAACTGTTATACGAGTTCGAGTCTGGTTCGAGTTTGATAAAGATCAGCATATAGTATCATATACTGATTTGTAGCTCTAAATATAAGCTACAACTTTATAATTATGGTATTTAGTAAGAATTAAAAGTTTACATAGTGATAACTAAAATGTTATTATTTTTACGTTTATTAAATTTGATCGTAAATGCTATATAACTCTCTGAATAATTATTACTAATAATAACTATCTTATATTGAATTGTAGCTCTAAATATAAGCTACAAATTTACTTATAAGCATAATTTATGGTATTTAATAAGAATTAAAAGTTTACATAGTGATAACTAAAATATTTTTATTTTTACATTTATTAAATTTGATCGTAAATGCTATGTAACTCTCTGAATAATTATTATTAATAATAATTATCTTATACCAATTTATAGCTCTTATTTCTGGCTACAACTTTACTTATAATCATAGTTAATAATTACTAAAGTAAAATAAATGTTTATTATACTAAAACTAAAGTAGATTAAAGTCGTAATAATTAAAATTATTTTTTAAATTCATATAACTTCTTAAATATTCATCCTAAATATTAACTATCTTATATCAATTTGTAGCTCATGTTACGATCTACAACTTTACTTAGATCATTAACAAACATTTACCTGAACTCGAACTGAAAATTTGTCAGGTTCGAGTCTGGTTCAAAATTCAAACCGAACTCGAACCAGACTTTTAATTAGATTTGAATTTTCGAACCAGACTTTTAATTAGATTTGAATTTTCGAACCAGACTTTTTTTGGAACCCTAAACACATGGTATCAGAATATTTGAATACAGTCAAGAATATTTTTTCATTACTTATTTCAACCAAAAAAATTCTGAAATATATCAAGGGATTTTAGTAAATTTAGATGGAGAAGTTAGAGGGTAATTTTAGTAAATTTAGATGGAGAAGTTAAAGAGTAATTTTAGTAAACCATTTACCATTTTTTTAAGAATTCCAATAGTTTTGTTCCATCCAATACTGATTAGAGATTTTAAGATAAAAAAATTAAATCATATTCAAGGACCATTTTTGCGTTGTATCTCAAACATTATCCAAGTGATCCTCTATCGTGGGTACAATATAGCAATATGTAAGTTTATGAAATTTATACTTTTTTGCGACACTTTGAATGCATAATATAAAAATTATTATTTTTTTGCATTATTTTCAATAGTGAAAATGAAAATATAACAGAAATCTGACGTGGATCCTTAGATATATCAAATTTAATTGTTGGAAATTTTGAATCTATTTCTACCTTAGATAGTTCGCTTGCTATGATTTATGTAGGAGTTATCCAAAATTCTTCAATAAGATATAGAAAGTATGTTGATTTAGCATCAGTAGAGATTGCCTTTTTGAGACCTGACAGCAACAATTTTACATCGTCATTTATACTTTATGAGAGTCAGACAGTGATGTATACTCATGTGAATATAGCTATACATTCATGTTATGGTACAGTTAAAATTGGCTATTCTTGCATAATAAGTATCGAAAACCCAAACATTATAAACTTTTTTCAAGTCACTTTTCTCTTAACTGGAGCAAATATAGAAATACTTAATTTAGAAAACTTGCCTAGTTTCATAGGAAAAAATCCAGAAGATCATGTTCAGTTACTTTTTTATGGAAAAACTTCTTTCGAATACAAAAATACAAAGTTACTCGACGAAACATCAAGGTTTATAGAAACAATTTTGGATGAAGATCGCAAAATAGTAACTACAAAAATGTTTAATACGGTGGTAAAAACTATTGGATATAATAAGACAACTAATAGAATATGACGATATAACCTTGATGATCCTGGTTATTTCACTGGTATTGATAAGAAGAAAAATTTCATGATATATTCTACTGATTATCCTAAGTTTAAAGAAGGTAACTATAATATTATTATAATAGTCTTAATTAATTCATTAAAATTAATTCATCTTAATTAAATTAGATGCAGGATATATGAATTTACAAATAAATTCTACTATTCCAAAAATCAATGATACAATCAACATAAATCAACTTAATCTTAGTATGGTGCATAACATCTAAAGTCATCAAACGTTTATGTTTTATAAAATGTATAAACTTCTTTACAAAGAAGTAAATACAAAATTTAATCCGTGAATATGCTCAGAAAGAGCCTATTCTATCATATTCACGGATTAAATTTTGTATTTACTTCTTTGTAAAGAAGTTTATACATTTTATAAAACACAAACGTTTGATGACTTTAGATGTTATACACCATATATACTTTAATAGACCTGTTACAATATCAACTGGAAATATCTCAATATATAAATATGACGATAAACATTTCCGACAGTATATTCCAACACAAGATTGCACATTGAATAATGAAACAACAATATCATGCAACGTTCTCTCGAGTACATTTAACGAATATGATAGCAAATATTACATTCAAGTTTCAGACAATTTTGCAAAAGATAGAATATTTAACGAGCCAATAACTGGAATTTCTGACCGATTATGGAATTTTCAAGTTGGTAAGTATAAATATATATGTCAAAATTGTCTTGAATTGAATGCCAAATTTAAATTTTTAATAATTAGAGAAAAAAGATGGAAACCCGAGATTCTCAGGTATAATTGTTAATATTATTTGTTTTCATTAATTAGTAAAATATTAAAAATTGTATTTATTTAAGGGTCTGTAAGGGGCTTGCTTTGTCTAAACGAAGATGGCAAAAAAGATTGGGAAATAAATGATCATCATAAATTTTATGATGACCTGAAAAAGCAATTAGCGGATATTATACCAGTTGACGAAAAAAAACTAAAACCCAGTTATCGTTCCCAAACAAATTCTGAATGCAAAACTGCTCTGCTGTCATACGAAATACTTACTGATCATTTTTCAGAAAAAACAGTCATGGATATAATAAATGATTTGGATACTCTTATTATAAATAAAAAGTATACTGAGATCTCTAGGAACGATCCGAGTAATTATCTTGAAGCTTTCTTTGGATTTAAAATTTTACGTGAGTGTAACTTAGTTTTATGTAAAATCCGTTTAAACTAATCAACTCAAAATAGATGTTTCTTGATTGTAGCAAACATTTGGGATAAATAGAAGTTTATCTTTATTGGTGCATTTGGAGGACTTTTAGTTCTCATCGGGATATTCTTCTTTGCAAGATATCGATATAAAGAGGTAATTGTTTTTTAAACTATTTTATTATTATTAATACAATTAACTTAATTTATTTATCTTAGGGAAAGAGTTTTGTGATTTCAACTAGCAACAATATTATTAGATTTAGTTTTAGATATCTTATTCATTATACAAAATGGACAAGATGTTGATTCTTTATTCTTACCAAGGTCTGTTAGAATATATTGATTTTATTTAAAATAAACTATTATTACTCACTAAATTTTTATTGTGTAGTATTTTAATATTAATAACGGCAATAATTGTGAATTTTTTTTGCGCATTTTATATTATTATTTCAGAACTTCGAAATAATCAAGGTTTGAAAATATTATTACTTATCTGAAAAACTGATCTTTTTTTTCATTTTCTAATAATTTATGAATAAAAGATTATTATAGATGGTATATAGAAAACAGCAAAGCGACATCGATTTTTAATCTTTTAGCTATTGCCGAAATCGAAGCACTTGAAATTCTTTCATCAAATTTTGCAGGTTTAAAATCTTTAAGTGCAAACTTCTCGGGTAAGGCTCAGCAACGGATATTTTGGTGTAGTATGATTGGCATTTTTATTGAAGATATTCCCCAATTGGTTATTCAGGTAAATTTAATTTATTTATACTAATGCAATAAATATTTTATTTTACAAATGTTACTTTTGGAAATAATTTACTTATTATTTATATAGATAATATATCATTTAAAAGTTATTATATGGGACATTGTACCATTGATAGCACTTATTTCTTCAGCTATTGTTTTTCTTATAAAAGTTATTCAAAAATTGCAATTAGCAATTAAAAGCTGTCAAAAATCGGTAAATTCAGATAATGATGAAAATTATGCAGATATGGTGCATAAAATCTAAAGTCATCAAATGTTTGTATTTTATAAAATGTATAAACTCCTTTATTAAGAAGTAAATACGAAATTTAATCCGTGAATATGCTCAGAAAAGGCCTATTCTATCATATTCACGGATTAAATTTTGTATTTACTTCTTAGTAAAGAAGTTTATACATTTTATAAAATACAAACATTTGATGACCTTAGATTTTATGCACCATATATAATTTATTATAGAGAAACTAATATTTTTATGTCTCAATATTTGTTTTGAATTTTAAATAGTATGAAAGATAATAAACAAATATATTTTATAAAAACTAACAAATACTAAAATTATTGTTCTATGGTGCATAATATCTAAAGTCATCAAACGTTTGTATTTTATAAAATGTATAAACTTCTTTACTAAGAAGTAAATACAAAATTTAATCCGTGAATAAGTTCAGAAAGAGCCTATTTTGTCATATTCGCGGATTAAATTTTGTATTTATTTCTTAGTAAAGTTTATACATTTTATAAAATACAAACGTTTGATGACTTTAGATGTTATGTACCATATACCTGACAATTTGTTTTACTGACCACCACCCCCAACATGATATTTCCCTAATATGTCATTTTCCTGATAAGTGCAATAAGCAAAAATCTTACATATAATAACTTTAATTCTAACCCTAACCCTAACGCTAATCTTAAAATTTGACATTAATTACATGCAAAGTCAATCAGTTAATACATTATGTTATAATATCGCATCATGTTGGGGAAACGTCTTATTAGGTAAATGCCCTTCAGGGAAACATCATGTCGAGGTAAGTCTCCATTCGGGGAGACGGGATGTCGGGCAAATGGGATAATGGGTGTCAGAGAATCAGGCACATCCCTTTACTACGTTCATAATATTGTGATTTGAGCACTCTCTGCAGTAGTATTATAACCTAAATTACATAAATTTAGTGAGATATAAACATTTCAGTTATGTTATTACAAATAGAATTACATTAAAAATATAGATAAGACTAGCTACCTAAGACTAGCCTACAACAATTGTTCTAGAAAGACATTGGCGGATTATGCAGTCAGCAGTTGCTTACCCCAAGATGATGTGTTTATACATTCGTTATTAACGTGATTGTTTTGATCGATACCACAGGATAAAGCTCTGCTCGGGTCTGGTTTGGTCCGACAATCGTAAAATAGTTTTCGTTAATAACTTTTATTTTTACTAAGACACTTATATTTTGTGTCTTGAGAGTTGTTCGGAATGTATTGTGTATATATTCACAAATTTTCGTTTAATTTGAATTAATATTGAACGAGAGATAATGATTTTTAGTCTGACCCGAAACATTTTGGGTCGGGTTTGACACCAACCCGACCCGACCGATTGGAGCACTATGTGTCGAGTGGTTGACTCTGATCCAGATTTTTATTATAATTTAAAATATAACATATAATTTGTCACATCACAATATTGCATCTGTCAAAAAAGTCAGTACTCCTAGGATAAAGTAGAAGTGTGGGGAAGGGGATGAGAGGAGAACAAGAAATCAGGTGATAAATATCTTTAACCTAAGAATATATAGTTTAGTTAATGATAAGAAGTTAATTCTCGAATTCCACAAAGCAACAATGACAAAGTCATAGTAATTATAAAAAGAAAATAATAATAAAATAATAATAAAAGTAATGAAAAAAAAAGGAATCAAATTTACATCAAAAAATATTGTTTATTCTTCAGAGTATTCTGTGATTTTGATAATTCCGCTGAAAGATAATTTTTTCACGCAAAACATAAGCTGAAAATTTTTTATTCTCATTGCTTTCATTTTACGCATATATTCTAAATCTTCAAGAGCATCTTCGTAATATTCATAATGAAAAAATTTTCAGCACGAAAATATCTTGCTAACAAGTTTTCTGGTTCAATTCTAAGTGCATGATTTATATCTACGAGTGCTTCATCATATTTGAATTTTTTAATATTAATTTGTCCTTTTAGAATAAATGCTAATATGTTATTAGAATTGTCTTTTTCAAAATAAAATCTAAATCTTCAAGAACTGAATCTATTTCGTTAAGTCGCATAAGAATATTAGCTCTAGAATATCGGGCTGATATACTATCTGGATAAATTTCTAATACTCGTGATAGCCAGAAAACCGCATCTGACCATTTCGCTTCCTTAATCATCTTATTTGCTTTACGTTGAGTTGAATGTAGTATTCGAGGCATTTTTATTTAATATAATATTTATATAACATTTTTATTTAATATAATATTTATATAACATTTTTATAAATATATTATTATAATTATTTATGTTTTTTTGTTGTTATTTTTTATTATTAACTTTTTTTAATTATATCTAGTAATTTGGTTTGAGCAATTTTTAAAAATAAATATTGATTCTGTAATTTTTGGAAAGCCCGATTTTGTTCATCCTTTATGCTTACGTATTCAAAATTAGCTGAGCGTTGTGATATTTTTCTATTTTTATTTCGCTCTTGTTTTCTATCCATAATTTACTTTTAATTTTGTTTTCAATTTCACTTTTAACACAATAATAATAATAATTTTGCTTTTAGCATTTGTTTCTTATCCTTGATTTCACTTTTGTTTTTCACCCTTAATTATAATTTCAATTTCGCCTTCAAACAGAAACTTAATATTGTAAATAGCTCTAGAAAAAAAATAAAAGGTTTTCAAAAACATCAATAAAAGACAGAATTGATTGCGTACAATTCTCCAAGTAATTATCCTTTGATTCAGAAAAGTCATTGTATGAATATTGGTAATGAAAATGGAATATTAATTTAGTGCTCCAACCGGGTTGGGTCCAATTTGTGACCTAACCCGGAATGAACATTTCGGGTCGGGTCGGGTCAGATTGGTCCAAAATATTTTGGATCAGCCTAAAAAACGTTATTTCTTATTCAATATTAATTGAAACTTTGTGAAAATATACACAATTACATTTTAAATAACTCTACTTAAGACACAAAATACAAGTGTCTTAGTAAAAATAAAAGTTATTAACGAAATACTATTTTATGAATTTTTGGGTCAAATCTGACCTGAACCTGACCCAAAATTATCGGTTCAGGTTGATCTCAAACCCGACTCAACAGAGCTTTACATATACAATGGCTCACTTTTGAAAACATACACAGAAATAAATATGGCGAAATTCGAATATCTCGTCATTACGACCAAAAGCAATTTAATTACATTTATTAAAATGCCAAGTATCATTTACAATTGAGTTTATTGTTCGATATGATTATAATAAAAAAAAATTTTCGCGTACAATATAATATGACCGATTTAGACGAAAATATTTAAGGACCAATTTCTCATTAAGAAAATATTAGCAGCTGTCAAAAAAAACCATTATATATTACTAAACTAAAATTATCGATTTATACTTCCCCCTTTTGCTTGTATCACTTTCCTAACCCATTTTGGCATGAATTCGATTAATCTTTCGCAGAAATCAATATCAACACTATTCATGCAATTTGTAATTTTTCCCACAGTTCATCTCTATTGGAAAGTGAACCAGAAAGTCTCCACATATGAATATCAACTTTATTCCATAAATTCTTGATAGGGCTCAAGTCAGGAGATTGAGATGGCCAATCGAGAACTGCAATATCATTTTCGCAAAACTAATCTTTCACTTTTTGGAAGTGTGTTTCGAATCATTATCTTGCTTAAAAAGAATTTCATCCTTTTTTAGCGTAATCTCCAAAAGTGAATCTAACAAATTTGTATTTAATATATCAACGTAGATATCTGCATCTATCTTGTTGTTGATTTTTCAGAGTTCACCAACTTTATTAGCACTCATGCAATCCTATACCATAATTGAACCATCACCAAACTTCATTGTTGGCATAATATGCTGGTCTTTTAAAGGTTCATTGGACTTCTTCCAACAATATTTCTGTTCATCTGATCCAAAGATCTGGTACTTGCTTTTGTCAGATCAGATTATTCATTATCAATTATCAATTATTCAATTTTAGCATTTATTTGCCCAGGCAAGTTAGTATTTTCTGTGTGTCTTTGTGAGTGGCAGTTTTTTGCATTTTATTCTGATGAATAATTCATGTTTTCTGAGTATACACCATATGCTCTCCACAGATAAATTGACTCCTATATCAGTTTGGAGTCTGCGTTGAACTTTGACAGCAGTAAAGTATTTTTCAGATGTTATTAATTGAACAGCATTTCATTTGTAGTAATCAGAGAGAGTGCGTGAACAGCTGAATTTTGGCTTATCTTCAAAATTTCCAGTTTCTTCTTTCTTCTTGAATATATGTGAAACTGGATCTAAGCTTACTTGTTTTAATACTGTAATTTCTAGTACCATATATTCTTCTTGGCAGAGTGTGTATATGCAAAAGCATTTTGTAAGTGAAATTTGAGATATTTAATTTAAAAAAAAGTTGATTAATATTGTTATTGGAATAGGAAAAGTGTGTTAATTATGATTAAAACAAAAAAAAATGTTGTTTATACTGAGCTTGTAAGATCTTATATTTGTTAATGGATTTGGTTATATTATATTGTACGTGAAAATAATTAAAAAGTTTATTTTTTTTAATTATAATCATATCAAATAATAAACTCAATTGTAAATGATACTTGGCATTTTAATAAATTACTTTTGGTCATAGATGATTCTTCAATGGTGAGATATTCGAATTTTGCCATTTTTTTCTGTGAACATTTTCAAAAGTGAGCCACTGTATGTATATAACTTTTATTTAATCAAATTAATTACATATAACTTTTATAATATTCCAGAGTATCTAGAGCAATATTGGAGCAAAATCTACAACAACAAATTCAAAGTAAATTCAATTTAATTAACCTCTTGCTTCACTATAATATGAATCCAATTCACTCTGTTCTGCTCCATTAACAACTCTATACAAAATAATAAGCCTTTGATTATTTTGCA